GACACTTTTGCATTTTAGCCACAAGATGGAGCCACGCACCTTTAAAAATGGTTTCCTGTGAAATGGACCCAAGAAGTGCTGTAATAAGATGCAGATTTTGCTGCTCCAGAAAATTAAAAAGCAAAAAAAAAACTAGTGCTTGTCTATTGAGGAGACGTTCCATTCGTTCAGGTGTCATCCTTCATATAAGAGCTCCTCAATCGGTTGGTGTCCTTGTGTGTTTTTTAAATGATTTCTTAGGCCTTGTAATGCACACTGGGCTTCCCTTCTAGTGTACACTACTTGGATGAATGATGAAGGCCACACAGACAGTTCAGCATACCGGCACTTTCATATATTTAGGATCATGGTGCAAAGGACAGTCATGTTTTGTACCCCACAGCAGCGAGTCAGTGTCAGATAATATTTAAGATTATCACGGTTATTCACAGAAGGGTGAAGAGTTTGGAGAAGGGAGGAGAAGTGAACAATCTAGGACAACCTAGCTGATTCCGAACAATTCTCCAATTCAGCTCACATTCCAGTTCAGCTATGTAGTCCGAGATTGTTCACTTCTCCTGCCTTCTCCAAACTCTTCAGCCTTCTGTGAATAACCTTATTTATGTTAAATAGGGAGGGTTAAACCAATAAACATGTAGCATGGGGTGTTGGAAGCATCAAGTAAAATTAGTGTGTGTGGTTGGGTATTAAAAGATCAGCTACACAAATAAAAGCATAGCAGGTTTTACTGGATTTAGCAGTCTTATGATGTGCAAATCTGATTTAGAGTGACAAGTGTATCTGTGGTGTTTTTTGTTTTTTTATTATTATAGTCATCTGATTTTAGGCCTGACTTTTTTCAGATGTCTGTGAGGACGTCCTGGACAATCTATCACCAAAAATCAATATGCTTGTGTCTGCTCTTTGGATTAGCTGTTTTGGTAGAAGAACTAAAGTATAGGTATAGCATAGTCCTAGTCTGTTATATAACATACACCATAGTGGTAGTATAGTACGGCCATAGAGTTATAGTCTAGTTTGCCACTGAATTTGACTGGGCACTTAGGTTCCTACGTCCTCTGAGCACAAAATGGTGCTTCCTCCTGGCCTGCCATCCTAATCCTTCACATTTTTATGAGTCCTGACTCCTAATATGTATTTTGGGGAGTAGCAGATCCTCTTGGATACATCTATCACCTTGATGAATGGGATCTGAGAGTCCCCAAAAATGTTAGCTTCTGTCTCTCTTGTGTCCAATGAGTGAAATCATTAGACTACTGCAGTTCTAGCCTTTCTCTCCTTTCCAGTTTACTGTGGAATGACTGTAGGGCATGCACCCAACTGCTTTTTGGTGTGTGTGTGTGTGTGTGTACACACGCACACACACGCACACACACGCACACACACGCACACACGCACGCACACACACACACACACACACCAAGATGATGGATGTTTTTTGTGGGCACTTTTTGCTCATACTACTGTTGTTGCTCTTCTTATTCTCTCCCTACATCAGTGCTGGTGATTTCTAAATCTGGTTCAGTGTCTAAACAGGTTTGTTTTATGTTGTAATAAATCAGAAGATGTCAGTTCCATTTTAAATGTCTCATACAGTCCAGAACCCAGTGTAATTGGGAATGTCCAGCTAATGTGTTACATCTGACAAATAAAGATGTACCTTCCATCAGCTCTTCATTCAATACCTTTTTTTACTTTATATTTGACTGTTCAGAAAAGTCACACTTAAAAAGATGATATTTTGCTTTTTAAAGGAGAACTATGGGGTTAGGGCTTTTCCCCATAGTTCTCTTAAGGGTAACGGGAGAACACAAACTAGCGTCCTCCCGTCACCCAAAGCTCAGGATACCGCGAGCTACAGCTCGCGGTATACTGAGACGCCGGAGCGGATCCCGACAATTATGTCTGGATAGACCCAGCTGCGTGAGTGACAGCTGGCTCTGCCTATCTAGTGGCAGAGCCAGCTGTAGCACAGCCAGCTGTACCCGCCCCCTCCCCGTCCGTTACGCCAGTCAGCGCTGGAGGATCGGAGCGGGGAGGGGGGAATCCAGTCCCTCCCCTGTCACTGCTCTCTGCCAGCACAGAATCGAGAAGTGAGCGAGCGCCGCTTTGTGTTTGCTCACTTCCCGATATACTGAGCCGACCTGTGACAGTTTCATTGTCGCAGGTCCGCTCAGATTGTGAGGCTGAGTGAAAATCACTCGCCTCATAATTCTGCTTTTTAATCTACAATTTTATCATGAGATAGCAAAGCCTGCATTCATGTATAAAACTGGGTCAATAGCAGTAATCCCGAAACTGAACTCCAGGCAAGCTGCTAAATTCAGACACGCTGTCACTTTCTCATCCATGGGCACAGCGACAGTTTCTTTAATTACTTGCATACGTTTTACCTGCTAAAGCATTTGTACTTCTGTCCATCCAGTTCTACGATTTATACAGCTCTAATAGACGACTACACAATCAGGTTGGTCACCTGTTTAAAAAAAGAAAGTGCCAAACCTGTAAAACAAATAAATGAAGACACAGTATATTATTCAATAGAGGGTAATAAAAAAAAAGTCCAACATGTTTCAGGAATAACAAAGATTATACCTTAATTGTGTTTCTCACTTTGGCACTAATGGAGTATACTAGACCAACCCAATATGTGAAACGTTCTTGCCAATGGTATGCCATACCAGTATAAGAAACAAATGAAGAATCCATATATTAATCAGTGGAGGACAATAAAAAAGACCTTCGGGGGTAGCAAAGATTAATCCCTAATTGTGTTTCTACCCCTGGCACTAATGGAGTATTCCAGGCCCACCAACTATGAAAACATTTTGCCAATGGAACACCAAACATGGAACCTACAGTATATTTCCATAGGCTAGAGGTCAACAACCCTTCTCAAAGTTTCTCTGTGTTTAAACTGGGAACAGTGTGGAGACTGATAGCAACCAGCTAGATGTGTTTCTTGTTTTTGGATTGGTCACAGATTAATCATGACTTGTTGCTATAAATTTCCACATTATGCTTTGATAAACAAGACTGTATTTGGTATTGCAGAACAACCATGCAAATTGCTAAATACACAGTTGAAATACGGGTGCTTGTGAAAGTTTTACCCGCAGGAGATTTGTAATCTTCTCTGGCTGTTGTTGGGATTTGTACAGTGGTACCTCGGTTCACAAACTTAATTCTTTCCACGATTCTGGTCACGAACCGAATCAAACTGTGATCAGACCACAATTCTGACTAGAGGAAGCCACAACCATGTGTCAGAGCAGGGAAGATGGCTGCGCTTGTGTTCGTCACCTGATGCGGATTTCGCGAACGGAAGCAACATTTTGCTGAATTTCCTGTTTGTGAACCGTAGCGTTCTTGAACTGAGGTACCATTGTACTTCTGTCACACATTGTTGCCAAGAAGATGACATTATTTCTTGTTGTAGCATTACATCTTCCTGGGTCACCTACCTGCTTACGGATCAATTAATCAACAGTATAGTGATGCCTTTTCATTGCCCAGTTAGCAAGCTGGAGACTTAGGCTGGGTTCACACATGGGCGTTTTTCAGCGCTGATCGACGCGCTGAAAAACGCTCAAGCAGTGAAATCCTTTTAATTCGTATGGGCATGGTTCCCACCTGGGCGTATTTCGCGCTGAAAAACGCCCTACGCCTGAAATAGTACACGAGCTTCTTTGGGGCGGATTTCGGTGCGTATCCATTGGTATTCCCGAGTGTGGCTCGGGGTTAACAAAGCGGTAACCCCGAGCCACACTCGGGAATACAGCCTAGGTCTTACCTTGTCCGCGATCCCCGCTGTGTCCTCCGGCCACTGCCATCTTCCGGGCTCCGTTCCTTGCGAGCGTCCGCGTCACAGGGGGGCGGCACCGGCGGGAAGTTTAAAAAAGTATCAAAGTAAAAAAAAATCATACCGCCAGGGAGGTTAAAACAAGCGTCGAAAACTCGTTTCATTGGAAAAAAAATGTGCTTAAAACGCGCCTATCAGGAACGCCCAGGTGTGAACCCAGCCTTAATGCCCTGTTCACACCAGATGCGTTGGCATCCATTTTTCAACAGATGCCAATGCAAGGACATCTGAAAATGAATGGGAGCACTTCACACCAGTGTGTTGCCTTGCGCTGCCCTCCGCTGACAAGAAGTAGAGCATGCTCAACATTTTTTTTCAGTGTGGCGCAGTGGACTGGTGTGAACTTCTAATGCATTTCAATTCAAGACAGAACCAATACCTTTTTATATAGCTTAGTGTAAAAAGAAAAAAAAATTGCAACGTAACACAACGGATGTCAACGCACTATGCAAATTCACGTCGATGAACCTCCGTCTACTCACGTTTGTGGCTTTGACTCCAGTGTGATTGCACCCTAAAGGGAAATTCCATATTTTTGAAAAAAGGGAAAAAAAAACTTCATAAAAGAAAAAAATGTGCATTTATTATTTTTTTGCATTTGACCAAGTAAAGCATTGTAACTCTGATAAGTGGATCATGGGTGCAATGCTCTGCCTCCTGCAGACACTTTGGGAGGAAGAATTAATGAAGTACAATTGCAGTGACATCACTGCACTTGTATCCCATTGAGAACCAAACGTCCCTCTGCCACGGTGGCTGATGGGTAATTTCTCCATTCACAGATGCTGTGTGGATGGAGCCAAACACAGCTGTGCCGAATCAAAAAATGTTCATATGGCTGCTGGAGAAGAACCCCCGTGATTCAGGTAAGTGGGTAGGGTTGCGATCTGACCATGTTTCATACCACACCCTAAATATGGGTGTAACATGAAGGATGGTCAGAAAGGTAAACTTAGACTTTAATTCACAGATAGCGTTGTAATATGCCTGGCTGTGAGGTTGAGCGGAAATGCAAATGTATTTAATTTTCCTTAGTTTGACAACATATCTTCCTGGTGATAAAATAAACTGCTGTATTGCTGACTAACGTCTGATTATCTATATTTTGGTCACACTGTTGAACTGCTTCTGGTTACAGATGGTTCCACCCGAATATCACAGGTGTTGAAGCAGAAAATCTTCTTTTGACCCGCGGAGTAGACGGCAGTTTCTTGGCACGTCCCAGTAAGAGCAATCCTGGTGATTTCACACTCTCAGTAAGGTAAGGGGCTCTTTTCCGGCATGTTTAACATATCTTTATTATATTACAGATTTGCTTTTGGTTTGAGCCGAGTTCTCTTTTTTCCCCCTGATACTGAGGACTGTGCATATCCCTTTGTTTCCTTTTTGCCCATTTTTCTCTTCATTATTTCCTTCCTACTTATTTTAAAGTCCAACTTCAATCTAACTTCTAGGAAGATACAAAACACACAGATTACACACACTGTAATCATCATAATTACATTACATTTCTTTTTCAATGCAATGCCTGGTATCAACATCTTGCGGTCCTCGTACAGTAGGGCTGGTGTATGAGGTGAAAAAGAAGCGCAAAGACCCTCTACACTTATGTGCTAAATGAGGCATGCCTATAGGAAGAGAAGGCAGAGTCACTGAAAGATGAGCTGTTTTGGGTTTTTGTTTGTCTGTCTTTTAATGCGCTATTCACAGCCTTTACAGGAAAAGTCCCAGACAGCTCCAACTGTGCATGATTGTAGAGTCTTGATCTGTGAAATCTTTTTGTATGGAAATTGTTCTGTGCAGGAGCACAGTTGATTATTGGCATGCAGTGTTCAGCAGTTGGGGATATCTACATTACAAGTTCCCTTAGGAACACCCTGTACGGCAACTTTTCTTTCTGGTAAGCAGCTGAGGTGTATCAGTATGTGCACATCCAGGCTGAGGGACCGTT